GGCGATCCGGTCTCTGTACGACTGCAGCACCCCCCACAAGACCCCCCGAGGGACCCGGTCGAAAGCCTTCTCCAAGTCCACAAAGCACATGTAGACTGGTTGGGCAAACTCCCAGAACCACTCCAGTAGTCTTGCGAGGGTAAAGAGCTGGTCCACTGTTCCACGGCTGGGACGGAATCCGCACTGCTCCTCTTGAATCTGAGGTTCGACAAGCGGTCGGAGCCTCCTTTCCAGCACCCTGGCATAAGCCTTCCCCGGGAGGCTGAGTAGTGTGATACCCCGGTAATTCGAGCACACTCTCCGGTCCCCCTTTTTGAAGATGGGAACCACCACCCCGGTCTGCCATTCCATGGGCACTGATCCCGACCCCCATGCGACATTGAAGAGGCGTGTCAGCCAGGACGGCCCAACTATGTCCAGCGCCTTCAGCATCTCAGGGCGGATCTCATCCACCCCCGGCGCCTTGCCACCAAGGAGCTTTTTAACTACCTCAGCGACCTCTGCCAGGGATATGGGTGGATCCCCCTAGGTCCTCAGGCGCTGCCTCCTCTGCAGAGGACATGTTGGCCGGGTTTAGGAGTTCCTCAAAGTGCTCTTTCCACCGCCCGACGATGTCCTCCGTCCGGGTTAGCAGTTCCCCCCCCCCTCCTGAGAACAGCCTGGGGTAAGCCCTGCCTTCCTTCCTGAGCCGTCGGATGGTTTGCCAGAACCTCCTTGAGGCCAACCGAAAGTCCTTCTCCATGGCCTCCCCGAACTCCTCCCATGCCCGAATTTTAGCATTCGCGACCACCGCAGCTGCAGCCCTTCTGGCCTGCCGGTACCTGTCAGCTGCTTCAGGAGACCCCTGGGCCAACCAGGCCTTGAAGGTCTCCTTTTTCAGCTTGACGGCTTCCCTCACCTCCGGTGTCCACCACCGGGTTCTCGGGTTGCCGCCACGACAGGCACCGATGACCTTCCGGCCACAGCTCCTAGCGGCCGCATCCACAATAGAGGCTTTGAACATGGTCCACTCGGATTCCGTGTCCCCAACCTCCCTCGGGATGTGTGAGAAGTTCTTCCGGAGGTGGGAGTTAAAGACCTCCCGGACAGGGTCCTCCGCCAGACGTTCCCAGTTCACCCTCACTACACGTTTGGGTTTGCCGGGTCTTTCCAACCGGTTCCCCTGCCATCTGATCCAACTCACCACCAGGTGGTGATCAGTTGACAGCTCTGCTCCTCTCTTCACCCGAGTGTCCAAGACATACGGCCGCAAATCAAATGATACGATTACAAAGTTGATCATTGATCTCCGGCCTAAGGTGTTCTGGTACCAGGTACACTTATGAGCCACCTTATGTTCGAACATAGTGTTCGTTATGGCCAAACCGTGGCAAGCACAGAAGTCCAATAACGAAACACCATTCGGGTTCAGATCGGGCAAGCTGTTCCTCCCAATCACCCCCCGCCAGGTTTCTCCGTCATCGCCCACGTGAGCGTTGAAGTCCCCCAGGAGAACTATGGAGTCGGTAGGCGGCGCCCTTTCCAGGACCCCTCCCACCGACTCCAAGAACGCCAGATACTCCGAACTGCTGTTTGGTGCATAAGCACAAACCACAGTCAGAGCCTTGCTCCCTGCAACCCGTAGGCGCATGGAGGCGACCCTCTCGCTCTCCGGGGAGAACTCCAACACAGTGGCGCTCAGCCGGGGGCTCGTGAGTATCCCCACTCCTGCCCAGCGCCTCTCACCCTGGTCAACTCCGGAAAAGGACAAAGTCCAACCCCTCTCCAGGAGCTTGGTTCCAGAGCCAACGCTGTGTGTGGAGGTGAGTCCAACTATTTCTAGCTGGTATCGCTCCACCTCCTGCACCAGCTCCGGCTCTTTCCCCGCTAGCGAGGTGACGTTCCACGTCCCTAGAGCTAGTCTATGCCGCCGGCGATCGACATGCCCGGGCCTCCCGCCCGACCCACCGCCCGGTCTGCATAGCACCCGACCCCGATGCTTGTCCCTGCGGGTGGTGGGTCCACAGGGTGGCTGCTCCATGGTGTTTATTTGGGCTGAGCCCGACCGGGCCCCATGGGCAAAGGCCCGGCCACCAGACGCAGATTGATACTAATCTTTGAGATATAAATCCTAATCCTGTGTGGTGTAAGAGCTACCTGTGAGACTCAACTGTCTGCCAGAAAGTCCATTTTAGAAAATGAATGTCTTTGGGTTTTGGAGTGTTGGCCAGACAACACAAGCCATTTGAAGATGTTTGCTCTTTAACCTGAGACAGACCGATATTGAGTCCGTCAGTGTTTTTGTTCTCAGCTCTGAACAGATGACTATGGGAGTCAAGGAGACGCTATGCAGGAGGCCTCTGTTGTCCAGGCAGCTGCAGAGAGACGGGTCAAGGAGGGGCTGTGCACTGCGCTCAGCTCTACAATACAAGAAGATGCTACCCATTTTAAATAGTAAAAAAAACAAAATGTGGCGGTCAATGTTGATATTGTCGCTGGCCGCCACAAATGAACCAATGTTTGGGAACACCGCAATGACGTGTAACAGTTTAGCACATTGACCGTACACGGCCCAGCCATGTACTAGGTTTCCACTTAGTCTTTTCTGTGGCTGACGGAGCTGACCGTATGTGGTCTGGAGGGGCAGTAAAGCTTTATTTATACACGCGCAAGGCACCGCAGCGCGAGCCTCCGCAGATGGCGAGCAAGTTACAAGCATGCACAAAGTGGTTAATTGACGGCGGGCTGTTCTTTGCATTATTCTTGAAACCGCCAGAGAGCGTACAAACAAAATGTTGTCTATGAAGAAGCAAGACGACAACGAGTGTAACCGGCAAAACGCCATCGACCAACCTCCGCCGTGTAGAGGAGGGATTGTAATTATTTGTTAACTCATATTTCATATTCAAGGACTAATTTATCACCTTTATACACACCCTGTAAAGAAAGAAGACAAGTATTACATGCATTATAAAGAAACTAAATTTGATTTGGATGCAAAATGTAGTGTGGAAGGATGATGGTTCGTCAGATCAAATCTTTGTGGCCCAGTGAGCAACCAGTACCAGTTTGTAGCGTGGTAGTTCAGAATAACTGGTATACGCAGTCTGTGTATTAATAAATGAAAAACATTTTAGCATAGTTTCATAACTTATCCTAATTAATGCAGACCCATCACACCCTGGACACAACCAGGAACAACACCTCCCCTCTGGTACAGAGCTCTGTACGCCCAAACCACCAGACTCAGGAACAGCTTTCCACTAGCCATCACTCTGAACACTTAATCAGTCAAACTGCACCTCTATTTGCACTATTGCCTCAATTCCATTGTCATTGTTGTGTTTGTTTATGTTCATATATACATATACTTTTGGATTTATATTGTACATAGTCGTTAATTGTAAACAACAACAGAGCTGTGAGCTCACCAGCTGTCTCTCTACTGAAGGAACTATCCAGTATGTACAGTAGAGGGAAAAGCAGGTTTCAGCTCAGCTTCATTTCAGGTGAACTGCCTTTGATCCGAGTAAATCCTCCCTTCCCCTCCTGCCTTGGACCACTTTCCCAGAAGTTAACCTTTCATGGTGCTGTTTTTGTTGCAGAACGCTACGGAGATGCCTGAGGTGCGGGACCTTTCCGAAGCTTTGCCAGAGATGCCCATGGACCCAATCACTGGAGTCGGGGTAGTAGCCTCCAGGAACAGGGCGCCCACTGGATACGATGTGGTAAGTTACTGAACACAACGCAGCACAGAGAGACAGTTCAAGTACAGGATGCTAATTCATCATCAATTTTGATTTATATCGGCCAGAAAAAGGCTGAGCTGCTTTGAATATTTAAAAGATGCCACAAAAACAGCTTTAGGGACAGCACTAGTACTGATATGTTTTCTTCTTATTTCAAAAATGGAGCTTAGCATAAATATACACACACACACACACCAAGGTGCTTTCTTAGTGTATCTGTGTGTGAAAATAATGCTGATTAAGTTGTGACAATTCCAAACGGTATGTTCTGGGTCATTGCATGTTGCATTCTGATTTGGTGCTTTATTGACATTGGGTTAGTGGTGCAACGGATCATAAAACTCACTGTTCAGATCGGATCAGCACAAAAGAAAAAAGGAGCAAATATAACTTTTAGAGATCCCTGATCATGTTTTTTTTGCAGCTGATACTAATTGTTAAACATTGATGATCCACATTGGCAGATCCAGATCTCTTTGTTGTTTGATTATAGGAGCTGGTCCCTTTATGCCACCGTCCCAAAAATCATTTTAACCGCTCTGAAGTCAGTGAGCCATCAGACATTTTAAATGTTACCCTTTTACTTCGTTAAAGTCATTTATAGTGTTTTTTCATAATGGCACACAATTCAAATAAGGAAATAAAATATTGTATTTTCATCAATTAAAACATATCCTGTCATTAGTAGTTTTAATAGTGTATTATAATGTGCTTAGAGCTAGTATTAACAGGTTCTAGTTCCCTCTTTATCATAATGTAACTGAACGTTCGTTGTCATCTTTACCAGCTTTTATCCTGTCAATTTCAACACGCACTGGTTTTTACAGTGTAACATTATCGGAGAATAGAAAAGCATAAATGATGTCCTGATCTCATATTTTACTGAATATTGGTGGATAATGATGTCAGTAAACTTCATTTCACACTGTTATTAATCCACGGTTCACACGCGTACCGAACCTTGAGGGGGATCTGTACGGATCACGGGTCGATAACGATCTGTTCCACCACTAGTGTTGGTCCTACTTTTCTGTCAGAATTTTGACGCAGACTGTCTCTGGTGTTCAAAACTCTAAATTGCCTGTTGTAAGACATGTCTTACATTGACTACATTTACATGACACTATTATTCCGAATATGACCATTTTCTGAACTCGATACAGGTCATGCAGACAGCATCTGAACTGGGCCATATTCCGAATATAGCATTTTCCCAATAAGAAGACATAGGGTAAAACATTTGACTAATATCACAATGAAACTTCCCCAGTTGATTACTTGCATTAAGAGAATCATTTTTTTGTATTACAAGTTTTCTGAAAATGAGGCAGTATTGTATTAAATATGTGCTAATTTGCACACATTTCCTTGTTTCATTTTGTCAACATATTAGAGGTTCAAGGGTTTTTACGAGGGGGATTTTGGATATCTCTTTGTATCACTCCATCAATCAGAAAATACTATCAACAGCCACGAAAAATGCCATTTCCGCCATGTTTTTAGGAATAAAATGTTGTATAAATCAGGCTATGAATGATATATGAACAAACTCCTCAGTGACAACCTTCAGAATATAGAGGGGAATGAAACTGGAGGGTTTGGTGTATGTAAGTGCTACTGAAGTGGAGATTTCTGTGTGTGAGTCTACGAAAGAAACTCATTCAGAGTAATTGGTGTAGAAAGATTTTGCAAGACACTCCAGGGTTGAAGTTGACCAGTGCATGAAAAACACTGTTTTTGCCCAAAACATGTGGGATATGCCGACAATATTCATGTTTTAGGAGCATGCTCTGCACATGTATACAGCGCATTCAGAATATGCATCTCAGGAAGGGTTTTTAGGGCAGATTGCGACACATGGCCTCTTACCCGTTTACCGCCAACTTTGTGCGTTTTACAAAAAGCAACAGTTTACAGAGATACATGCCCAAAAGAAAAGCACACATTAATGGTCGGAAGAAACCAGATGAGCATTTATATTCACTATTCCAGGAATATTTTACCAGGACAGAAAACTTCAATGTAGGGTAACCGGTACACTTGTTAACTATAAGAATGGACATATCATTTAGAACAGTATTGTTGTCTCGAGGTTGTGCTTATTAAGTTCAAAGAAAGACAAGAAAAGTATACTGTAGATGGAGATAAAGCGCGACCAAACCTATAAGGGAGTTGTACTGATATCGATACTGTTTAACAACAGGAATTAAGTACGATTTAATCCTTTCATCTTATTGTACTGCTAAAGGAGAACTGAGTGGATTTCCTTACACTGTGAACGGAACTATTCCCTTTACAACTGCAGTGGAGGTTATCATTATCGTGTTTTACTCTAAGCTCAATACAGAACTACTGATGAGTAGCAGAGACATGTATCAGGCATTTAGCCTGTTACAGAAATCCTATGTAATGTTTCTTTGGGAAGCTGATGAAAAAAGGTGCTGAGACGGGTTAAAAGACTTGTTGTCTTAGTGTGATGACCCCTCCTCCCTTCACTTATCTGCCTCCAGGTCTCTACGACGACAGACGGCCTGGATGCTGACCTGTGGAAAGATGGCCTTTTCAAATCCAAGGTGACCCGCTACCTCTGCTTCACAAGGGCCTTCTCTAAAGAAAATGTAAGTCAACTCAGCTCATCAAACAGCTATGCATGTTACAATCTTCTGCCATGCACACAGCATTTGAATGAATCGGATTCACTCTGGTCCTGTTTGTCCTTCTCTTTGTTTTGTACGTCTATAGAGCCATTTAGGCAATGTTCTTGTGGACATGAAGCTGATCGATATCAAGGACACTCTGCCTGTGGGTTTCATCCCGATCCAGGAGACTGTTGACACTCGTAAGTTTTCAAGTCAAGTAGAAAAGGCACTGAAAGCATTTGTTCAAAAAGGATTCAAATCAAATCTTTAAATCCAAGCATAGATGCTACCATGCAAAGCAAGAAACAACTGTAACAATCTCGATTTGAACAAGAAACTCAGATCTCTGTGCAATGTTTATGTCAGAGTAAAACTAGTAAAACATGGAGCCTTCATCTTCCTGGGAGATCGTACCAGGTGGCAGACAGAATTGCATAGTTAGTAAAAACAAGGCTTATAGGGATCCAATCTAAACATCAGTGGTGTCATTATTCTATATTCATTGTGCGATCAATGTTTACTTCATAATGATAATCAAAACAATTGTCTATTACCACTTTAATGAGCAGACTGTTTACAGTGGAGTTACTCTCAGTCCGTCTGTCCGTCTCTTGTGTCCCCCAGAGGAGCAGGCCTTCAGGAAGAGGCGACTCTGCATCAAGTTTATTCCACGGGACTCCACAGAGGCAGCAATCTGTGACATCCGCATCCTGGGACGCTCTAAGCAGGCCCCGCCGCAGTACACCTTCATAGGGTGAGCAGCCTGACATCACACGATGGGACGTTGGCTTTTCTTGTAGACTTCACAAATAGAGAGAATTTTAGTTGAAACCAAATAAGTGTTTGCAACTGCATGATTAAGATGAACCTCCACACTTTTTCGGGCTTTAGTGAATGCACAGGGAGTTTCTGCTGAGAGGCATGTTTCAGGTGGGGCATGGAGTAGGGATGTTACGAGAACAGATCCTAAGTCGATGGCAAAATTCTGAAAACGTGACAGTACTCGCTTTTCTGCAGTACCGCTAGTAACATAGGTACCGGGGGGGCTCGAGACTAACACGCAGTAAACTCACTATCGATGCATCCACGGGACACACCCTATTATTTCCCTGATATTGCTACATTGTGAACTAAAAATCCCAGCTGAAATCGGCAAGAGAAGAGCTAGTTAAAAGTGCTAAATTTCATATTCAGGGCATTAATATAGCACTGTACAACCCTACATTATATAGCGGCTTAAGTCTACCTTTGCAGCGAATGAAGTCTCTCCCTCTGTGTGTGTTGTAATCCAAGCCTCTCTGTGCTTTTTTTACATAGCCAGGCCGGCGACACCTACCTTTTAGTGCATGTGAGCGCGCCACACTGTCTCGCTCAAAGCTGATAACGGCGCCCCGTCGACGACGTAGTCGCATAAGCGTAGCACCAATTCCCGTATTTAGCACTTTAAAGCTAGCTGTTAGCAGTCCTGCCTGGCTAAATAACAGAGCTAACAGCTTATGTTAGCAGAGATTGCATTGAGTGTCCTTGTGATACGTCGAGCTTGTTTAAGTCAATATGAGTATTGGGCGAAGGTAAATTGTAACGTTATCATGGATCATCAAAACATGTTCATGCACTGCATCCCGAAGAAACACTTCCAGCCTCAATTCCTCAGAGAAAGTATTAATAAGAACAAAAAATGTGGGATGCAACATGTACACATTCACACTTTTCGGGGCTGGAGCAAAAGACAAAGTGCTTTATGTTAAGCCTGTAACTTTTCTATGCCGTCTGAGATTTCCTTTCACTACCTTGTTTCACAGAGAGCTCAACAACATGGGAATCTGGTATCGCATGGGGAACGTACCTCGGGCCCAGGACTCCACACACACACCGACCACCAACAACATCCAGAATGTGAACTCCAACACAGCCCCAGTCCCAGTTGCTCCGATGCCCAAGTATGTCCACTCTATTGATGTGTTTTACATGTGTCTGATGTGTGTTAACTGGCATGTATACACGTCGCTGAGACACTCTGCTCAGTCCTTGCACAAGGAACGAGGATGTTCACTGTCCTTAAACAGATCTATCTTTAGACCACAGTAAAGCAGGAAAATGTGATGCATTCAGCTGGAAAACAAAGAAAAGTAGTGTTTTGATTAATGCCACGTTGACAAAGAGGAAAGCTGTGAAGTAGAATTTCGAATGTGCATTGTGTTCTTGGAACTGTCAAATGAGTTTGAATACAGGTTTTGACTGGTCCTAATATTTGATCAGGACAATAGGTTGAAGGTTGGATCTCTACTGTGTCCTGAACAAAAGTGAGACAGTGATACTTCCCGCTCTTTGTCACTCCCTTGGATGATATCAAATTTCATATTCAAAGTAGCAGTTTTTATTTTTCAGAAGGTAGTTTCAGGGTGAGCAGTGTCAAAATGAAAATCACCTAGACAAGGTTGAAACAAGTACATTTTGGATTGAGCTTTTCATTTTGATTGCATGCGTCCGATGGAAAAAAATAACAACAGCAACACTTCAAAGTCCACCGGTGTATGTTACCGGTAGCCTGCAGCTGCACCTCCTCCGTCAAGCCACCTGTGTGGCAACATGTGACTTGCCTCGTGAACTCTGTAAACTACAAAGACAACTACAGATTGCAATTGAGCCCCACTCCCAGCAATGACAACAGCTTTCAACAAACTGGCGATTTCAGCTCAAATGGATTGTCGCGTCTGCATCTCTTTGTGTGATAAACATGTTGGCTTCATGGTGCATTCAAGCTGTTGTTGCATAGTAGCCTCCTGCCATCTTGTGGATCTTCTTTTTGTTGTTTAACAGTTTCTTCCCAATTGACTGGTGAAAAAAGTTATTGTTATGTCAATAACTATATTATTTAAGTTTGGTCACATGTCCCTCTAGGGGGGTCCAGGGGCCTTCTAGTCCACTACATGTCAGAGAGAAATTTAACTTTTAACTGCATTTATTTGATAGTATTAGTTACCATTTAGGCTTCTTAGCCGATTCATATTCTTGACACAAAATATAAATGAACTAATAAGCTATGATGTATTATTAAGTAGTGTACAACCTAATGAAAGTAGTTCAAATTAGCTCAGCCTATACTAGCTGCAACATTAAAGTGATGAACATATTAATGCATCATAAATTATAAATCTGTAAACCTGCTCAGGGAACCAGAACTGCGAGTCACTTCACTGTGTTTTGAAACTGTGGCGGAACAAAATGGACTTTTGCTGGCTGTCAGAGTCTCGGTCAACAATGGGGAAACACTGACCCATTCATATGAGAGGTCTGTCACCTCGCTTATCTCCGTCAACGGAGAATCCAGTCTGTGGTGTAGATGCCATAAATCCCAAAACTACGTCCAATAAGCAGCAGCACTTCACCAAAGCCGGACAGCTTCCGACCCACGTGCTCGGGAGGAGTGGCTGGTTCGACTGTTCCCCTCCACAGACTGGCTGTGAGGGAATCCCTTCACAGCCAGTTCCAATAGAAGAAGAAATGGGGGCCTTGTTCTTTGCTAAAGTGCATTTTCAAGTTTAGCCAAATATAATGAGACTTAAAGCAGTCTGAGTCTGTGTTTCTATCCGCTCAGCAAGGAAACGCAACCAGGGGATTTTGTTGTTTTCAAAGTGTGACACCATGAGTCCGACACAATGACGTGGGCCTTTTTCTCTACACAAACATGTATTCAATACATTGTACATCTGAGATAATTCTATCCTCGGACTCCACCTTTTGAAGTTAATTGCAACAGTTAGCTGTAGCAGCCTTTAGTTTTCAGTTTCGTTATGATTGGTGCAGGGTTTTATGTGTCTCGTGAATCCACTTAACAGCACATTTGCAGACAAACACATGTGCAATGTACACAGAGGACATGCATAGTTTATAATGGAGCCCATTGGCCTGAGGTAAAAAGTGAAGGCAGGAGAGAAATCCTAAAGAGACGAGAGGACCCATCTGTTTTCTGTCCTGCAGTCTGTAACTCTTTAACTCTGAACTAAGAAACATTCTTGATTGTTGGGGCGTCAGAAGACACATCCCATTATAATCTATGAACCCCATCACAGTATGGACATGCAGCAAGGGACTGATGCATAGATTCATCCTTTAGTCTCCATTGAACTAATGGAACAAACCTTTTTGTCCCAAGACATATTTCCATGACGCTCCCAGCCAGCTTCAGAGGGAAGAACACCACCAGACCAGACTACGAGCACCAGAACTCCAACCTGTATGCTATCTCAGGTCAGCAGTTTCTTCTCAACATCCTCTCCATCAAATCCCAAATGTCTTTTTGAAATGTGCCAACCAAAGCCACACATGGTGTTGTTGTTGGTGTGTGTAGAATTGTGCTTTAAATAGAACCATTTCCTTTCTTGGAGTCATTGTGATGGTTAAGGGGATCAATCTGGGAACAGCAAGACTTAGCTGATCAAGTATCAGAGAAGCAAATCCACTTACACAGTCATCTGATTTTAACGCATGACCCGTCCAGCCAATAAGGATGAGGTATTCTCTGCCCATGTCATGACAACCATTGACTCTGTACACGAGATGGTGCTACTCTTTAGTTTGAAGCTTTGTTTGTAACTCCTTTTGTCTTTTGTGTCTCAGAACACCAACCACGGTTAACATTGATGTGTTTTTAACTTGCCCGGTCGAGCAGGTGGGTCAGAACTCCACTTGTCAAAAGTACATTTTCACTTGCCCAACACAAACAACAAAAACAACAAAGACCAAAGTCATTTGTCATCATTTTTGATTTAAGTAAATGAATCAGAACAACGACACATTGTGTCAAAGACGCAAAAAACATTCTTGCTACTTTAATAATAATAATTTAAATATGTCAACTTTATGAGTGATGCTTTGGTACAGCCCTGGATTTGGATTTGGATATTAAAGATTAGATAATATCAACACAAACGTCGAGCACAGACGTTTAAAAGGGAGCCGTTTGAAGAGAGGAGACATTGCTATTAAATATATTTTAAAGACGATGTTCATAAAAATATTTAGCTTGAACTGTATTGCTGGCATAAAGCTTTATGTCTAATTCCCTCTGATTTATAGGTATATTTGGTCATATTTTAGAGTGAAACGTCCTTGTTTTCTGATCTTCTCATGCTGTTAATACAAGCTCAGCACTTCCTGTATTAAGAGCCCTGTAGAATGTCAGTGGACTGAATCCTTTCACTTCTTTATGAGACTTTTATTGTGAATCATTTGCAGGACTTCCTTGTGGAAAATTGCATTCCTGGTGCACACGCTACTTACTGTAAGTGTAGCCACTGACATCTTGTAGGTTATGACAAAACAGCGTTTGGCTGGGACGCTAACACACACACACAGACACACACACACACTGACTGAAATACAATAATAGCACTCTAGATGAGTAATCCAGATCAACAAACATGATTATATTGTTGAATTTAACAGATTAAAGCACAATGGAACTACTTATTCTTAGTTGGCATGCACACTATATGACGGGCACCTGGGGGGTTTTCGCCCCGGCCTGTATTTGGGACCGGACATTATTTTGAAGATATGGTATTAGGCTTATGCAATAATGGTGTTATAAAATGAACATAAAAAGACTCGTATGACGTGAATTGCATGTCAAACATTATTTGTATGACACCTAATCATCAACTAGCCCTTGATGGTTGTGACGGCCCTACCTCTGATCTATAAACCACTGCTGCCCCTACATGAAGCCGCTCTGTGCCGTTGGAATAGGGCCCTCTGTGTTTCCTGACTTTGTGAGTTGATGCTGTCACTGTGTGGAGCATTTATTTGTGTTCCTCTTTCAGCAATGGACGGAGTGCCTTTCATGATCTCTGAGAAATTCGCCTGCGCGTCATCCGATGTAAGTAGCCTGGGTTGAGTCTTTAGCCCTTTGGTGGCAGGTTGACCTGATGGGGGACAGAATGTATCCTCCTATCAGAGGTGCCCAGTCATGTGCTTCAACACCTCTGCTCACGTTCTGCCCTACGTTTAATCTAACCAGTGTAAAAGAATGCTTAACCTCTGGTTTGACTGCTAGATGTTCTGTACACGTGCAACAGATTTTGAATATCTAAAGCAGTGATAGATTGAAAGATGGGAAACACTAGAGTGATTGGACAACTAACTAACTAACCGTCATTGCTCTCCATCTTCAGCTGCAGCAGGTGGATCTGATGGGCATTACAATCAAGTCATTGGCTGAGATTGAAAAAGAGGTGAGTAGACAGATGTAAGAGCCCTGCTATATCTATCCTATCAACGGAGATAGAAACACCACGATCAGACAGGTTGTTAACAAGCAACGGTTTATCACCTCATGTGGAGCTCAAACTGCAAACACCAGGAACACCAAACCGGAGTCATCCTCTAACTATCCTGCTTTGATATGAACAATGGGCGGGCGGTAGTGCAGTGAAAGGTAAAAACCTTTCCAACAACAGATATGAGTTGTGGGCCCTGTTTCAGAGAGCAGGTTTAGTTAGTGAACCCTGAGATGAGAGGTAACCTAAACTCTGGGTCTGTTACCGTGGTAACTGACTCTGAGATCCAAACCTGCTCGCTCGTAGGTTTCTCTCTCCTCCCTCTTACATTTCCTCATCCATTCAGTCTGTATTACCACCTTCATTACGGAGGTTTGGCATTTAACATCATTCCTCACATGTTTCTGAGTGAGCAGGATGGTGGTGCAGCTGCAGTAGTGTGGAAGTGAGGTAGCTGAAATAAAGCTTTAAATCACGCAGAACATTATCGCTGGCTCAAGTCTCCTTTGTCTGTCGATTTATACATTTGTTTAAAATGTTTAACAAATTTTTCCATGTCGAGTTGGCCCCTTTGTTCTTTAGCCGTCTGATTAAAGCTTCCATATATATTTAAAATGTAGACTACAGCCTAACACACAGTCAGATTCCACCACTTTATGTTTATTATGAATTAATCGACAATATAGAATATAACCTTTGAATTGTACTCCCTTACTCTCTGACTCAGGCTCTCCATATATATTTTACATGCATTCATATCTTCAGCTGGATTAAAATGGAGGCTGCCTGTTGTTTACCTGTGAGCTCCATGATGATGGCTGTTTGCGTTCATTAAGCAGGAACTTAACTCTGATCAGCTGTTCTGGAACCAAAGACTTCTCAGGGTTAGGTTCAGTTTGTTAAACCTGCTTTGTGAAATGACCCTGGTGTGGTCCATTGGTGGTCTCAACACATAGAAATGTTCCTGTAATTACATGCTGTGTCCACCAGAGGCCAGAGTGGTCCTTAGTTTGATGTACTGGACCCTTGTAAATCCAGGGCGTTTTGCTGATGATGTGATGAACTCATTGTAGACTTTGGTGATTTTTGCCAGCATACATAATACATAATAACAATGATTGACTCTCCCTCCCTCAGTATGATTACAGTTTCCGCACAGAGCACAGTGCAGCAGCTCGCCTCCCTCCCAGTCCCACACGGACCTCCCTGAGCTCTGAGGCCTGAGGATCCCCTTAGCAGCAGAGACCTGTACACAACTACTGAGGACCTGCTTACAACAAACAGTCCCTGAGAAGAAAAAAAAAAAACTACAAAAATGATTTTTCCCAACCTTTGGAAGATGTCATTGTCTCTAAGTGTTCGTTGTTCTGTTGAATTGTAAAGGAAAGTGAAAGACTCTACCTACAACAACTGATGAGCTAGCTTCTAAGAGGAGATAGAAAAAACTGACCTTTCTTGCTCAAGAGAAATGGAAGGAATCTCACTCATATGATTTTAAAATACATTTTCTTTTCTTAAAGAAGAGTGTTGTTGCCTGCAATACAAATAACCACGTCCGACCTGAAGGACTTGTTACAAACAAGATGTCATCACGTCTGCATCATTGGCCCGACTCCCGGCACCATAAATCATCCCGTTCATGTGTTGGAAATACAAAAGGAAATATCATGTTAGCAGGATTTATTTTTCTTTTTTTTTTTCAAGCTTGTACTGCTTTTTTTGAATGGGAATGATTCTCCTTGTTCTCTTGATGTTACTGTTAATATACTGGCGTGACTGAGTGCACTTTGTGTTTGGGAATTTCAGTGTGCTTCCTGTTTGCCACAGGTATTCTGTTAAGCACTCCTCCACTGTCTGTACACGAGCCGAGCTCGGCTTCGATATAGAACCACTGTTACTGTTAATAGGTTACACTGCCGGACCTCACATACCACTATTCCTATGATCTGTTTTCAACTATTACGAATGGATCGTGAGGGCTGGGTATCATTTGAGTTTTGGTACCAATACCATACTTTAAAAAGATACTTTACTTTTAATTACTAACATATAAACATGTTCATGAGGAACAGCTGGTTTTATCTTAAACACTTCTCGTGTTCAGTGTATTACATTTCTTCAGTGTCTTTCCCTTCCATCCAGCTCAATCTCTCTACAACTTACAATGTCCAATAAGAGTCACTTGTGTAACCAGGGTTCTATGAGTTCTGTCTGGCTGCTATTACACTAACTTCTGCAACTCTATACAACTTACAGTTTACGGTCCATGTTGAGAATCTACTACATTTAAAGCATTTGTTAGCATACAGAAAACTACAGCTCTCACTGAAACCCTCCTGAGCTTTTGAAATTGTGAACGCGGCAACAAAAATGTTAAATGAACAATATTTAAATTTTCTTTTTTTTTCTTTTATTATTGTCTTTGCCAACTGTTGACAGCTGTCATTACTCTGTGCCACTGCCACATTCCGGATGGTACCACAAAGAGGTATTGAGGTTTGATACCCAGCCCGAGTTTCTTTACATCAACAGAACTATCTTCACTATTTTGAGTTTCTTTCTTAAGTACAATGCTAAAGGTGCTAAATGTGATATTCAGAGCATTAATACAGCAGCAAACAACTATTTGCTTTGTAAACATTTAGAGGAGTAATGTCTACCTGAGGAGAGAATTTAGTCACTCCCGCTCTGTGTGTTGTAATCAGAGTTTCAGATAGCCGGGCCTGCTGAGCGTGCCCCGCTGGCTACCTCATGACCGCCGCTCTGCATTGGCGGCTACAGCTGATAACTGCATCGTCGCAGAAGTGTGCGGAGGCAATAGATGCTCTGGATTTTGCATTGAGCACCTTTACCAAACAGATGTTGTGTAACAAATTGTTCTTCAGGCCTGAACAAAGGCAAAGTTGTCAAGCAAAAGTGCTCTTTTCTTTTGAGTATATTGGTTACACGTTAAAACCTTTGTGCCTACAGTGCATATTTTTCCTCTGTTACAAAGCTACGTCTTTAATTACGTCTTTTCCCACTAACCGTTTAAACAAACTCGTCTTTTAGCTTGAATCTGTTTTAGAAGTTGGAGAACTTCAATTTGACATGTGAACTCAGAACCACTAGAGTACATTACTTTGTGACAAATTAAAAGGTCTTACCTTGGAGGGATTGTATCAGGAAGAGGCGTGTCCGACTCACCTCTGCTGCTTTTCTTGTTTGCCGTTTTTCTAATTGCTGTTGAGCTACTCTCGGTGAAACTCAACACTTCCTGCAGAAGTTTCAAATGAACAGACTACCAATAGTGCAGAGGGCGTAATCCTCTTCATTCCCGGCAGGCCGTCATGTGAGAGACCCGATCTTACATTCATTGAGAGGTTACTCTTCAGTTCACTCTAAATAGATGTCTCTGTGTATTTCAGTACCTCTTTTCCTTTATGTATATCCAGTATTGTGTTCAGAAGCGCCACGGATTTTGGTGACCCTGTTTTATTTTGCTCATTTCCTTTCATTTGTTTAAAGTGTCTCTGCAATATTACATAAATGCATAGACAAACTCCTTTTTATTTTATATTTTCTGTGTGTGTAATTTATTTGTCATCTCAGTATTGTGGCCATGTTCTCCTAAAGGCTGTTTTCAGAAATGTAACGTATAATGTTGTATATTGCACTGGCAACATGTTTGATGGGCTCATGTCCATGTGAAGCTCCGTGTATTTGAGCTGAGTGTATCCGCCTGCTACATGTATCATTTCCCAGCTGTGGTGTTAACTGAAACATTTAATAGCTAACCAATATTGTCTCTGCATTAACAAGTAACAATACTGCTTTGATATGTCTGAGTTTGCATGTACAGTGACATGAGGTGTCAGGTTTCAATAGGACAGTTATTTTTGTAGCTTAATGATCAAAGGTCACAGATTTTGTCTCATAAATAGATTTTATCCACTAAAGAATGAACAAAACGGCATCAGTTGAATTTGTATTATAATGAAGTTTTATTAAACTATGATGAACTGGAGTCCTTGATTTAAAGTTTGATTTCATTTTGGTGATGTCACTCAAGTGCAAGCCTGATCAGTAGATTTTATTTCTTATATATGTTTGATAAGGATCTCTTAATGGTGAACTTAAAGGGCTTATATGCTATAGTTGCACCAACGTATCATCATTCTACGATTTTGTATATCTTACGAAATGTTCCTCATTATTCATGCTCGTTACATGCATACGGTCTTTTCAAAATAAACTTGTCTCCACAGGAAACGGGCAACAAAACGACTTAGTTAGGTTTCAGAAAAGGTCGTCGTAATATAACTACGGAAGTTACTGATGTACACAAGTTACGTGACAAATAAATCAACGTTGGCTTGTCATTTGACACGGGGAACGTACAGCGGCCTCCTGGCTGAAAGCCCGCAGTTTGTGGGGCTGCACTGCTATGTTTTCAGCATAATAACAGACCGTATATAAGAAGTGGACGCAGTCATCGTGACGTCACCTATTGGTTTGTGGACTGCCAGTATACAGTACAGTACAGCAATCTGGCACAGAATATAATATATAGTGTACTAGTAAAACATGATTAACAATAAATAGTATAATATATAATAAATGCTATGTGTATTTATTGCACAATAATTTAACTTATTTTTCTGTAAATTAATAGTCAAAACAGTATTTTCATATAGCGAACAACATTTTTAGTGAGTGGACATTTTACATTGTGAAAATCCATTTGTCTGGAGGACAAACTGCGCAATGGAGGCACTGTTTCTGAATGACCATTGGCATGTCTGTACCGACGTTAGGTATCTATAGATGCTCTCTGAGAGATGTCAAGGTGCGAAGAGGAGCAGATGTCTCCATTGACCACCACCTTGTAACAGCAGGCATCAAACTAAGGCTGAGAAGAGCAGGCCCACCACCCAAAAGAATGTCTGCATATGAAAGACCTGTCAATAAAGACAAATTCCAAATACAAGTCCTGCTCCCCTGTGGATGTACCATTGTCGTTTTCGATACGCCACAAGCTTGACTCTGGTGCCACTTTCATTCAAATTTTCACACAGAATGCTTCATGACCTAATAGGCAGATTGTCGTGTAATTATCTGAGCAAATCAATCTCCCAAGGGGATTAACCTTTTTTGTTTTTAAAGACGTATGGCCTTTCCTCTACTGTAGTGCCACCCTAAGGACAAATTACACTCGTTGAAAGGGTGTTAGAATGACAGAACTGTCTTTTGGTGTAACGAAAATTGCAGCCCTTGAGGGCCTCGAGTAAGTTGACATACTTTTCTGTGTTCCATTAAAGCTTCAAAGCCCAGTTCACAGCCAGCCTTAGAGAATAAAAGCCAATGTGAGCCTCTCGGTGTGGTTGTCTTCCATTGCTTTGAATTGGCACACACGCTGTTGGTAGTTCATTTATCCTGCAGTGTTTCATCTCCATGTATCTTTATTTTCTCAATGGTTTACTCACAAACATGAGTCAATTAGCTCTCCAGCAAACACGTGGCTTCTCCTGCCGGGAGCTTTATGGAGTGGAGTAGACAACAGCAGCCAATACGACATCTGGAGCTGCGTCACTGCACCACCACAGACGGCAGAGGTGGAAAAACTCAACGTACGTTTGCCCGTACTTTGTCATGTGTTGTGTTCTAAACCACAGTGACAGATGTTTCAGTCCATGTGAAATAGAAATGCAAATCATAAAAATTGGAGAAGGAACTTCCCACTAAAGAAATATGAAGTCAGAGTGCAAACTGAAATGCTCATTTTCTGGCTGCCAGACAAGTTTTGAATGTTATTTTCCAATGCTATGAGCATTACAAATGAAATCCCATTCTCCATTGTACTGGGGTGGAGACCGACTCTTCAAAAATTCTGGATCTTGTGACCTCGATATTGAAGCTGATCTCTGATGGTGCTCCAGACAGATTCCTTGGCCGGACACCTGTGGAAGTTCGGGATCACCCGACGAGGGTTTCATGAACATCACTGCAGTATAAGGATAAGGATGTTTATTGTCATCGTAAAAACATACAACGAAATTAAGTTGGGGACTCATCAGCCAGTACAGCAGTGTACATGATCTTCTGGCATCATGGTCACAATAATTCCACGCTCGATCCCCTCAGCACGGTCTCGAGCGGATGTCCTCAGCAACACAATGTGCTCACCCTGAGATGTTACAGTCGAACTTAGATTTGAGTTTTTAACACAATATACTCTGATGTCAGTCAGAGTGAAGCCAATGCTGAAGTGTCTTAAAACTTGCATTCTCTCTACTGACCATCAGGGGGCGACTCCTCTGGTTGTATAGAAGTCTATGAGAAAATTACTCTACTTCTCTCTTGATTTATTACCTCAGTAAACATTGTAAACATGAGTTTATGGTCTCAATCTCTAGTTTCAAGTCTTCTTCAATACAGCATGATGTTCATTTAGTAAATTATGGTCCATTTAGACTCAAATAGACCATAAAGCAGAGTATGCTTTAGGGCGGGGCTACTGTGATTGACAGGTTGCTGCTGCTACCAGAGATGTACACTCCTCTGCATTCAAAATGTGTTAACTTCCGTTCATTGGCTGCATAAAAAATAACATGGCGACGGTGAAATCGCCAACTCGAGGCTTCAAAACGGGGGTCCACAAACCAATGGGTGACATTATAATGACTGTGTCCACTTCTTATATACAGTCTATGATGTTAGTTGAGGGCTGGATATCGTTTAAAAGATTACGATGCCAGTACCAACCAGTCCCATTAAAGTGATACCGATACCAATAGAGTACTCGTTTGTTTCACTTGCTCTGACCGAATGCAAAAGAAACTGTCAACATATTGTTTAGTGTGTGTCTGTAGTATTCAAATGCACTATGCCAATAACATATTATGATGATTATTGTGAAGTATCGCATTAGAAAAGCTCTATGAAAACAACAACAAAAAAGTTTTTACGCTCGCTACAGGTGGTTTTTCCATTTGTCGAAAAAAGATTTGATGTGCTTCACCGAAATAATTCTGACGAAGCGAACATTTCACTCACATGACTGATCAGTTGTTTCTGCTGTCATCATGTTCTCGGTTATATATTTGTATTGTCTTGGTCTCCGGACAGTGTGAATCATGACCAAAGCTTGACATTCAAGAACAATTAGAACTTGCCCAATTAAAACAGATTCCTGAAGGCCTCTCTCCATTTCTCTCTCGTACATGTGTAAGGCGGTTAGAAGGCGACTTTTGTCTGGTTCACAGTCTCATCTTCTACTCTGTTTCCTGGAGGATTACAGCCACTGTCCCACCTATAGAGCCAACTTCTGAGGTTAATCGCTCCGAACCAGCTGATGGAAACATTGCTCATTTAAATGTTTTTTTTTATGACATTTCAAAAGCTCGCTTGGTCAGCTTCACCATTGAATCATCAAGAAAGGTACACTGTAGTGCACGCTCTCTCTCCCTCTCTCTTTCACACACACACACACACACACACACACACACACACACACACACACACACACACACACACTGATCACTCAGCCCTCAGAGTTGTACACACCTCCTCCTACAGCACTGAGTGAGACAGATTGTCATTACCTGTAATTAACATGTCAGCAATTACTGTGAGATAAATACTTGTAATGGGCTGCTGATGGTGCTGTACTTAGTTGATTAATAGAGCACTGACTTGTTTCCACATAAATGCACAGGCAGGCTGGCCTGAGGGCAGCACTCAGGGGCCATGGAGCGATGGAAGCTGGTACAGAGGAGCTGCTGCTCAGCTAAACAACGCGTTAAGTCCTTAGTGGGGTCCTGAGTCGGGTTTGCACCAGAGACAGAAGTTATTCAGATTCTCTTCATGTGGCCGTCGTAGCCGATTCAAGTCCACGGATAAATCGGTCCAGAGTGAGGATTGGTAGCAGAAGAGGCGCCAGTTCACCTCCTGGGCACTGCTGACGTGCCCTTGAGCAAGGTACCAAGCCCCCTAACTGTTTAAGGTGCTGTGTCATGCGGCAGCCCCACCAGTCTGCTATCTCTCCCCAGTAGTGATTGTGTACTGTGCGTGTAAATGAAGACAATAACTACAGAGTGAAAGTTATTTTCCCAAGAGAACTAATACACTTTTGATCACATATTTTATTTTGACCAGTTCACACCTTTACAATTGAAATTCCTCATCTTACTAAACAAGACACGGCGTTTGTGGGCCCCTCTGTTCAAGTGAACGTTTACGGCTCACTGCGTATTTAGACGTCTTTGGCTTTATTTCCGCTGGTGTTTGAAGCCTCATGTTGACTGCATACAAGATGGCTTCTTGCATTTTCTTTTGCATTTGCCAAGACACAAAAACTGGTAGCTATCACACAATTATTGAAAGCACAGACTCATGTAGCCTTTCTATTGACCAGTATGCAGAACCATAAGCACATTGTCTGCTTTACACTAAGATCGAGATTCTAAAACACGGTTATCTACATTAGACACACCATTCAAAACTAAAAGCCTTTGTGCTAAATCATCAATAACCTGTACCCAGAATGCACCTTTAAAAACACCCTCAACTTAGGAATCAGAGCTTGGACGCTAGAATAGGATTCAGTTTTGCTCTTTGGTGTGCACAACAATTGAGGCTGATTTCGGAGAAAAATGGGTTAGAGGGCTGTAGTTGCAATATAATGTATTCTGTTTACAGTAGAAAACAGTAACTACTGTAAGTTCATGTCATCCTAAGTTAAGGTGAATAGGGTAACACAAATGACATTAAGACAATGATTTTTTTGTATTACAATGGTAACTTTTGGTGGAACAAATAGAAAAACTAATAAAATAAACACCTGAATGTGTGCTTTGGGTGTTTTCTTTCCATAAGTCTGAAAGACGTGTTATGGAAGTGAAAAGGCCAAAGACTGCCAAAGACTTTGGCAGATAAAGACTCTGCTTTACTCTGCTTTATGTTCTGTCTGACTCTAAATGGACCATAATGTACTAAATGAACATCATGCTGTATTGAAGAAGACTTGAAACTAGAGATTGAGACCATAAACTCATGTTTACAATGTTTACTGAGGTAATAAATCAAGAGAGAAGTAGAGTCATTTTCTCATAGACTTCTATACAACCAGAGGAGTCGCCCCCTGGCACTTTGTTGCCTACACACAAATACCCAGAGTGCTTTGTGTTGGTGCCACCACAACTACTTTAAGATTGCTGCCTAATTTTCCACTAAACTTTCCAACTGCTCAGATACATCACACAGGACTTTATATACGCAGACATTATAAAAACGTGTTTACAAGGATGTCAGCTGCTGCTGATTTCCAGCTCTCTTGGACAAATGCTGCTTGTTAAAATCATAGAAATGATGGAAGTCAATGTGGGGGGCACATGTCATCAAACAGTCTTCGCTGCTCTGACACTCATATCCTCTTTTAACATGTGTTGCATTATATTTACAGGCAGTAAGTGGCATCTGATCTATAAGAACATCAAACCTCTTTTCTTTGCGTCTGTGTTATAACACAGCTCCTGGCAAATTAGCAGAATGAGCTGTTAGGGAGTTTGTTGATTAGACTTCATGCATGGCACCTAGGTCTGATTAACCCGCTATAGCAATATAGGCCCTGGGGTAAAAATTAGCTGTGGACAGCAGATAAAGATGAGATTAAATCCATCCATTATCTTTAATGGGTTATCCTGTTCAGGGTAGCTGGGGGAGCTGAAGCTGAAGCTCAGCTGACATTAGGCGAAAGCAGGGTACACCCTGGACAGGTCATATAGACAGACAACCATTCACACCTACAGGCACTTTAGAGGAATCAATTAACCATGCTGCATATCTTTGGGCTGTGGGATGGACATGCAAACTCCGCACAGAAGAGGCCGTCCAGCCCGGGAATCGATCCCTTGTCCCTCTTGCTGTGAGGCGACAGTGCTAGCCACCACCACGCAGCCCTAGATTGAATCCAGTTTAAGTTAAATTCTGCAAATGTTACATTCTAATACAAAGTCGTTAGTAAGGAAAAACTCTAACCGATGGTGAGGGAGCGCTGGTGGAGACCAAACCAGAGATAAAAACGATATTAGGATATTGGACGTTTTGTCTCTCGTCACATTTGAGTGGGTACCAAGAGTCAGGCCCCTGGCCTTTTTATGTCACATTTGACATCTATATATCTTAACTTTGAAAAGTGTGTGTAGGGCACACGATCCAAATATTTTGTGTGTGTCACTTGCACATAACCAAAAGGATACAGGTGTTGATTGCCATTATCCTAGATAAACTAGAGTATTTCTTAGTCTCATATAGGCTTGTAGATATGCAAGAAATTATGTAGGAGAGATCAGAGTTGGCTGTCACATCCTTTAGATATCGCTACCTAGAGGCTGCTGTTGAATATATGTTGGTGACATTTTCAGAACTGAAGTCAGAGGTCAACCTCAGGGTCATTTCAGGAGTAAGACTTAAGAACGTTAAATGTTTTTCACATCAAATGTAAATATCAAGCTCTTCTGTGCTTCTGGTATATAATAAAACAATTATTACCATTAAAAAGTATGAAGGGAGAGCATTGGTTTGGATTTTCATACTTTTCTGAGCAAGGCTTCAACCCTAGACTTTAAAAGTGGACGTATTCACCATGAAGTAACCTATTGCTTTGTGGAACCCGGAAAATCCCGAGAGCTTGGAGCTAAGTAACTTAATGCTGAATAAGACATTTTTAATATGTTACAATACACTTTCATGAACTGAAAAAAAAAACACTGCAAAAGGGGTAAAACGCCGACAACAGACAACTCCCATCCCTAAAGCATACCCAGCTTTATGGTATGTTTTACTCTAAATGGGTAGAGATTGAGACCATAAACTCATGTTTACAATGTTTACTGCAGTAATAAATGAAGTGAGAAGTAGAGTCATTTTCTCATAGAAAACCAGAAGAGTCGCCCCCTGATGGCCATTAGAGAGAATGCAGGTTTAAGACACTTCCGCATTAGCTTCACTCTTCAGAGCTGGACGTTACCACTAGGCTAAAACATGTGGTTGTTAGCTTAATCGCTTGCAAAAAATGCCAGTGTGGGATGCTTGTCACATTGTCTTCAGGGTTGGTTGTCACATGTGACTGATTGTGAGTGACTAACCTAAGGATGAGTTGAGTATTATTGTTCTTTGTATTGTTCTTTATATTGTTATAAGGAATGCACTCATAGGAATGGTTCTTCCTGTTCCTGTTCTCTCAATGCAGGAGATGTGTTAGGTTGTTGCATTTGTATGAAATTAAACTTTTTTTAAATTAATTTTTAAGATTGCCTCCCATTAAAATAACACATAAGGACAACCCCAGATTAAACGTGTGGATCATCACCTTTTTTATTTTTATTACTGACATTCTAAATCAGTGTTTTCAAGATTTATCTTTAGAAATATACACGTTATTTCTCTCTTGAAATCTTTTATTTGACCATCGTTCACAGTTCCTTTAGAAGCTTTGAAGCATTGCATATCTGCTGCATATCTCGCTGTTTTCTGAACTGAAACAACTTTTCTTTTTTTCTGCGTAATGTGTGTTGGAGAGGCCGTCAACCCATCAATATACCCAACAACCTCTGCATTTTATAATATGGACTGGAGGACGGGTTAGAATGTGGCACTTCTGATTAGACCCCCCCCTCTTAATTGAACCCGACCCGCGCGCTTCCTTCCATATATTTAATTTCCCGTTAATAAAAGCCTCCTCCCGCCGCTCATATATCACGACGATTTCTATCTGCGAGCAAACTGCTGAATGCAGCTCGAGCCAAAGAGCAGACAGCTGATGACTTTATATTGCTTTTCACACAGCTGATCTCAGGCCTGCGGCGGAGGGCTGATCAATCTGCAGTGCTTTATTTGAAACCGCCGGATACATCGTCTGCGTATCATATCATACCCGTTTAGAATCACGTGATGCTATCTGTGGGTAATATTCCATAAAAGAAACGTGAATATTTATCCGTAGCCTATTGTGAAAGCCGACTGGGGGGAAAAAAGTTGCCTTTTAACGGCGCGCGTCATTATGCAAATTCTACATCAGGCTGCACGTGCAGATGTAATCTTGGTTCCAATAAAACAGCAGATCGTCTGCGGGTTCTCTGCATGTCGTGATCGGTGAATTGATATTGACAAAGTAAAGACCTGCCGTTCAAACCCAAATAGAAATAAAAGATACATAAAAATGAATACAATTATGGATTAGACAGCGGCAGTAACATGTCCATGTATTGGGAGGGAATGTGTATAAAACACGTAAATATTTATATATGATACCACGGTGCGGCCATGAAATAAACCTGAATATTTCAGCAGTAAAATATAGATATCCCCCCCCCCCCCCCCCAACAATTCTGATTATAGACACTTAAAGAAGTCTCCAAATTAGTTGTCATTATTTGGAATTTTATTTTCATATTTAGGAATTCTGTTAAATGTGAAATTATACTTTCAGTAAACGGAATATCCTGACATGAATTATAAGCAGGGGTCAGGACCCTCTCCCCTCTTCAGGCCTTCAGTCTGAAGGCAGGGTATATGGTAACCGTTATAAATATAATATGTGGTAGTCCACGAGGAGTGGGCTGATAGACTACTGTTCCATGTGATGGGGTTACGAGTTGATATTCATCATATTTAAGATGCTGCTGGTCTAAATACTACTATACAGTGCAGAAATAATGAACCCCTTACTTTTAATTGCTGTAGTGAAATTGAGTCTAAAATATCATAACCAGCCTATAAAATACAACTAAAACCCCAAATGCCCAGAAAACTGACAGCAGATATGACCTCAGTGTCATCACCGACTGGAACATGTTAGAATCATGCTAGTTTCATTTGTCCTGTAATTTGAGGCACAGTATCATTCCGTCATGTTGAGCTTGTATGTGGATATTTGATGTGATTTGACAGAGCAGCATTCGGTAGGCCTGCATGGACTCACTGTGCAGCTTCTCGTGGAGGCGGATCCATCCGGACACCCGGGCACCAATACCGCTGCAGCGCAGCGGAGACGGCGCTCGGCGGAGGCCAGGGGGGAGGGCTTCTATCTCCGCCGCAACCCTCTTTGAAAGAGCGGCTCATCAAGGTTAGGATCGCCGGACCCTCTTCGGTTCACACCTCTGGATTTACACCAGCTGCTGGTTCTGTCCTCGTCTTCCCCGGAGACTGACATCTCGCTTGGCTTGTTGTTGTTTTTTAACTTCGCGGATTTTACAAACTCACTATTGCTTCGTTGTTGTAGTTTTTTGCAGCTGCTCGAGGCTTTGTGGGGGATTTCTCACGCAGACCGGGATTTCACGGTTTGTGGAAGTTGCAACAAGTCCGGAGCGTGCGGAGAGGCGCGTGTGGGCCGGCAGTCACCGCTCTGCTGTTTGAGGATGCTGAAGGACATTAAGATAGAAGACCGTCTGCGGACCGATGCGGGCTCTCTGGATGTTATGATCGGTGAGTCCAGTCCTCTTCTCTCTCTGCTGGAAGAGTGCGGAGTCTCTTTCTCTTTTCCTTTATTTTCTTTCTTTGATGACGTTGCAGCAGATCTTCACTCAGCTCTAAGCTTTGGCTTATAATAATAATATTAATATATATATTATTATTATTATTAATATATAAGTATAAATATGTGCGTGTATGTTTTTATATATATATATATAAATACACTTATTATTGATATTATTAGCCTATAGTGAGGAGAGAGCTGAATGGAGATCTGCTGTAACGTCATCAGTCGGATAACATACATCATGTCAGGAAGTCAAGATATTAAATCTCTACTGGATTCTCCTGGATACGAAATGTAAGAAGGTTACATTAAAATAAAATAAAGTTCGATCTTGTACCTCGTCTTCAGTTCAATTCTGCTGTGCAGCTTGTCAGAAATGACTCTATAATATCTCTTATGATATACTTTTTTTGTGCGTTTTTGTGTTGTTGTTGTGTTGGGACTGCAATCTGCATTTCGTTGTGCAATTACCTATTTTCCCTGTTATGTTCTAGAGGTAATGCTTTTTAAGAGGGAGTAGGCCTACTTATGTATTGAATCAAGAATGCATTTTTTCTCACCCAGATGTTTCGAATCTCCAAACTGCAAGACGCATTATTGATCTATACCATAGCATCGGAGGAGTTGTGTAGCCTAAATCAATGCTCAGGCCTCGGCTAGGCTATATGAAAATATAACCGATGTAATTGCTTCTTAATCTATTGCTAAAGGCCCGCAGCAGGTATATGATGAATGTAGTGTAATATTTGCTATTCGCTATATTATAATGGAGAGCGAGAACAAACGAGGGGCAAACAAACTGTGAGAACACATAGAGCGGACTGGGTTTATGTCACATTACTGGTCCTTTTTATTGACGTATTCATAAGGCCAAAACAGTGCAATTAAACGAGCGAACACGAAAGGAAACCCTTTCAATGAATTCGCTCTGCGCGCCGAATGACGGCGACGCTACACGACCTTTCTCCTTCTCTGTGTTTTTGTTATACGAACCACATCGCAGCGTTTCATTTGTCTCCCCCTTCCTCTCCGTCAGGCGGGGACTCTCTTCAGCGGGCCGTGTGCGAGGGCTGCACGCGGGTCATCTCCGACCGCTTCCTGATGCGGGTCAACGACGCGTTCTGGCACGAGGAGTGCCTGCAGTGCGCCGCGTGCCAGCGGCCGCTCACCGCCACCTGCTACTTCAGAGACACGAGACTCTACTGCAAGACCGACTACCAGCAGTAAGACGCTATCTGTCCTCCGCACACCACGCGCTCGGGCTCGATGGGGCCTTCGGGGTGGAATGTGTGTTTGGGGTCGGTCGGGGAAGGACATTTCAAGTAGCGTAGCTTGTATTTTCTTTAAAAAAATACCGCCGTGTTTAGGCGTTTGAGCCGCGTACTAACGGCTGGTCAGGCCTATTCAGAAGCGCGTAGGCCTACGTTGTGCTTCAAGTTGAGCTGTGTTTCTCTTCATCTTTACCGCGAAACTATTTAAGACTTTTTTCTCTCCACAACATTCAAGCAGCTGAACAATAATCAGACCTGCTGTGCAAAGAAATTACCGGTTCAGCTTTTAAAAAATCGCACTACGTGAATTGACGAAGTTGGCATCATTTATTGTGGGACTATTTTGTTGTTTACGCAAATGGCGTAATTCACAGATCCGTTTAATGACTCCAGGAAATCAAAGGCAGCCGGTGCCGTTTCTCTTTGGGCATAATAATATATTTTCATATCCACTGACTACCTGTTCTTTTGAATTATAATATCTACATTTTAATGCCAGATATTAAAAAGCAAATATATTTTTATTTGTGAAAGCACAAGAAAATTGGCTACTGAAATCTAATAATCATGTAGTTGAGCAAATAAAAGGTTGCGTTAATAATAACCGGAGAAGCACACACTGATTGTGTCACTTCTGGACGACTTTATGAAACATGAAAAGTCATTGATCTTAATGTGTCGGCCTAGTTACATTCATTGGGAATGAATGAGGGCTTTAAAATATGCATTGATTGCTTTAATTATGACATAACTAATAATAATGTTGTACAGTAAGCAGGATGAGGTTGGACAGTGTGCTGTGGTTAAAAGGCTGTTTGGAGCTTTGAGTACAGTGCCTGCATGCAGGTGTTGTGTTATTACAGTATATATGGGCCTCCATAGGCTTTAATGCACCTTACAACACACACGGTAAACTGTACAGCTCAACGTAACAACCTAACAATCCACAACAGCTACCAGTAAGAAACATCCTAGCACCCAGCTCCAGCTTGCTGTAGAATATGTGTATCTGTGCTTTAAAGTCCTATTTTTAGAAATATAATGAAAAAGGCACAGAAGAAGAGTGATAAGTTGTGAGCAACATGAGAGTGGTGTAGGCCTATTGGATGTGGTGAACAGTGTTGGTGCAGCTGGGTGGTCTTGCCTCTTGAGTTTTTTTCCCCCAGACAGCCTGTGCAGCGCGCTGACAGCGGGTCTGACTGTCACATCATCTCTCTGCTGGGTGTCTCTGTGAGCCTGTCTGCTTTTCTTTGAAGGCCTTTTGTCCCGAATAGTGCTGGGGCTCTAAACACTCGCTGCCATGCGTCACCGCTGCATGCCGGAGGTCCGCTGGCCACAATGGGCAACACGCATCTCCCATACAGCATCGTCCCATTCCCTCAAGCGTCAGTGCAAACACTGAATTTCACAACACAGATTGACCTTTAACCTTTTCCCCTTATTTGTCGATGTTTCAGTTAGTTTGTTTTTGTAACACCAACTGGAAAAAAGTCAATTGTTACATATGATGCAGATGATGCAGATGAGGAATATTTAAATAAAAGGTGTACCTGGTTTAATATAAACCCCGGAAGCAGCACAAGACTTAAAACCAAAAAGTGCTAAAACAAGAGTGAGACAATTTAAAAATCAGAATAAAGCCAAAGCAAAATATTCAATGTGCTATGAGACAAAAGGTTGGCTAAAAGTTTAAAGATTTTATTCAAAAGTAAAAAAATAAATATACAAGAATGATATACATTTATGATAAAATGCTATGTTTTGCCACAATAAAATCTAAATTAAATCCAATCAGATGAGTCAAACAAATGTACAAAAATTAAAGCTTAGATGAATATATTTTAAATGTTTATCTTTTGAAATGTAGATGTTACCAAAATATTTTTTAATAGTGAGACATTGTAAACTGAACCCCAATATACCAAGCAATAATAATAGTACAAAAATATTAACAAAAATTAATCGTGGTGGTCTGATCAGTTTCAGTAAAAACGTTTCAAACAACATAAAGTCTCCATTTCTCAAAGGTCTGGGTGTGATTCAACTTAATGCTTTAATTGTTAAAAATGTCACTTCTCTGAGGGTCAGCTTTTCTTTACTGGCATTAAAAATGCAGAGATGAATTCTAAGTGACAGTCGTAGTGTGTTGGATATTTTACATTTGATGCAAGCAAATAAATAAATACAGTTCATTATGAAGGAGAAACCCAACAAACTGCTAAAACCCTTCAAGATGTGGATATAAAGTCAAATGTATTTATTTCACCCACTTGCAAATTTAAATAATTCCATGAGTGACAAAAATACTCCATAATGTGTTTGAAACAAAAATAAATATAAGTTTTATTATTTATCGATCCTGATGCGGCTGTGTTTTGATCGTCATGCGTTAACAACACTGACGGCCAAATGGCCAACAAATCTCTTTCATTGATGTGGAGAAGCAATAAAAGCATTAACGTTGTGCAGTTTAAACACTCACTGGAATCCTATATGATATGAGAAAAATATGTGACAGGAAATCATTTTAATCAATCTAATAAAGCCATATGAATATAATAGTGAATGACAGAAATATTGTAGGATAATATTAGAATTATTCAAAATCATCAGAGTGCTATCAGAAATTTGACACTTAAAAAGCATAATTTATAATGAATGCCACATCATTATTATTTGTTAGAGGAAATGGTACCACTTCATAAATGAGTAAAAAAAATAATAAAATAAAAAAATGACACAATTCACAACAGGCCTCTTCTATAAATCATGAGACGAACAAATCTGTGTGTAAAGGAACGTTTTTTTTATTTTTATTATCTTAAACGGTTAAACCAGCCATTTGGAATTGATGGATTTATGTTCGATTAATCACAAATTTGTTCTATGCATGTGATTAAAAACAATTACACATGTTCAATACTTGCATTTAGGCCGACTTAACAGGCTGTCTCTTTCTTTTAGTTTCCTCTCATCAGTCTAACAAACAGAATGTATGCTAGCCTCTCATATTAGATTCAGTGTTACAACTTTTGGAACAATACGAACATCCAGGCTCCCTCGTGTGGCCCAAAAGTGTACTGCAGATATACATTTGCAATAAAAGACTATGGAAGAAATTGATTTGGCGACCCCAAAAAGAATCTTGTGCGATCCACTGTGGGTCCCGACCCAGTCTTTGGGAATGACTGTTGTAAACCATTTATTAATTGTCTACATACTGTTATGTATATATGTGTATAGATATAGATATATAGAGTAACGCTGTGTTTTTCACCATCTATATGATGGTGAAAAACAGCGTTACTCTACCTGTACATTTCTGCTTGCTTCCTGTGAGTGCTACAGTCTTTGTTGACTACCGGGGCATCGTCTTATTAAATGTTGTTTTTTAATCAAGTGCAGCTCAGGATCAGGGTCAGAGTTAGGGAAGATTTCTCTCGGGCTACCGCCTCGCTGTTTTATACTGTGTATTAAATTTCTCCCCTCCTCTTCCTTCGCCATTCAGGGAGAAAAAATATTGATGTAACGGCAATAAAAGGAGTGACCGGGGGTTTAATCACGGCTCTGCGGTCCTCACAGACTTAGCCTTAGAGGAGGTTAACTCTACTGCTCTGTAGCATGTAGGGTTGTGGTCATGTTTTTACAACCTGGAAAGTAAAAATCATATTATCAGTAGTCTCAAAGCGCTTACAAACACAGTTACATTTACTCACTATAAAGCATACGGACATTTATTCAAAATCTGATTTATTTTACATATCCACGAGTTCCATTGAACACCTCAATAAAACATGGCTCACTAGGTTTTTAGTTTTAAAGGGAACATGTAACTCATTTTCAGGTTCGTACTTGTATCTTGGCTTTCTAATAGAACATATTATGAAATCTTTCTGTTTTTTTACACACACTCTGGAGTGCCTACCAACCAACGAACTATGAAATAAGACAACCCAGTCATTTGTTTGTGGGCTGCCTAGATCGGGAAACATGTGATGCAACCAGACATTCAGATGTGGCTCCCCTTCCTATGTCACATGCAGCCCAATAACCTTTGATGTCAAGATGGGGAGATTTTGGAACCGTTAGCAGGACCCTGCTAGAGGATCTCGTGCAGCCATCAGGCTCTCGGGGAGTTAGCATATCACAGATATAGGTAGGAGCCCTAACCATTCAAGGCTTTATAAATCCTCAAATCAATTCTAAAACTCACAGGTAACTAGTAAAAAGGCAGCAAGGATGGGTGTGATGTGGTTGCTCCTCTTAGTACGTGTTTAAAAGCATAGAGTGTATATAAGAAGTGGACGTAGTCATCGTGACGTCACCCATTGGTTTGCCCGTTGCCATCTTAGATTACAGCTATCACCATGTTTTATTTGGCAACCAGTGAACGGAAGTGACCATATTTAGAATGCGGAGGAGTGACATAGAGACGCCTTATACGTAGGGTTGGGTATCGTTTGAGTTTTTTCCGATACCGGTGCTAAAACGATACTTTTAAAACGATACCGGTGCCTAAACGGTGCCTGAACACGATACTTTTTTCTTCAAATTGAACAATATATTAATTGTTTAAAATATACTATAAATATAAATAAATACAAAACACTTGGCTTCAAACTTTTTAACTTCAAACTATGAACAATTTATTAACTGTTAACAGTTTACAGTATACTTAAATAAATAACAATAAATACAAAACACACACAAACTCTGTACACACACTACAGCTTCAAATTTCAGCAATTCTTTTGCAGAAATATGAGCATATTTGCCCTCTCTGGTGAAATAAGACCTATCCTGACTTATTTTATTTTATTTAACCAGTTGGTGGCGCTAATGCGCCAATTCATCGTTTGCCAACCGCCACTACACCTCAAAGAAGAAGAAGAAGAAGCTTCCGTGTGCCTGTGTTGTTGTGCTTATGAGCGGCAGCGCTAAGTACCCGGATG